CCACTTTTTCACATGAGAATGCTGAGCATGTCACCTCCTGGGGCTGTGTCTGTGCTCCCACAGGGGATGGAATTCCAGGGAAGGCTTGGGATGTGCTGGTGGAGCTCAGCCCCCAGGGCTGTTCCTGCAGCATTCCCGGGAGCTGCTCTGGGCACGGGGGGTGGGACAGAGGGGGCAAAGCTGGGCCAGGAGCTCTGGGAATTGATGTCCTGCTCCCCCTTTCCAGGTTGGGCTCCAGCATCCAGTTCTCCTGCAACGAGGGCTACGACCTGCAGGGCTCCAGGAGCATCACCTGCAAGAGGGTGAGCGACCTCATCGTGGCCTGGAGCGACCACAGGCCCGTCTGCAGAGGTGAGGAGGCACAAAACTCAGCTGGATTTACTGGGATTGATGGGAAAACCCCTCCCCTCAGGGTCCCCTGGGTGCATCACCCCAGGTTTGGAGTCCCTGGGTGAGATCATGGAAGCCCTGGATGGTTTTGGGTTGGGAGGGACCTTCAAGGACACCTCGTTCCAAGGGCAGGGACACTTCTCACTATCCCAGGTTGCTCCAACCTTTCCTTGGAGCCTCCCAGGGATGGAGCAGCCACAGCTTCTCTGGGCAACCTCTGCCAGGGCCTCCCCACCCTCCCTTTCCCATTATCCCTCTATTCCAGATATTTCCTTTTAGGGGACAAGGAGGAGAGGGGAGAAAACCTGGGATAAAACCTGGAAAAGCAGAGATGGAGGGAGATTTTTTTTTTGAACTGGAACTTGCTGCTCTTGGGCAGCCATGTGGGATTTTTGGGCTGTGGTTCCTCAGCAGCATCATCCTGTGCCACGAGCCATCCCCCAGTGGAGTTTCCTTTCAGTGGAGGAGTTTTCTTTCAATGGAAAAAACACACTGATGCCCATTTTGCCCTTGGCCATTTTGTTTTCATTCCCTCTCCAAAGAGTTCCATGAATAATGTGATATTTGTAATGCTAATAATGGACAACTCGTAATATTTTTTAATGAAATCCCTTTAAAGCTCTTAAAGTCATAAATAGGTATTTTTTTTCAGTTCTTTTTTTTTTTTTCTTTAATTTCATCTGCAGATTTTTTTCAAGGCTTTGGAATCCCATCTAATTCCTGAAACAAGCCTGGAATAAATTGAATCAGTGTTAAGAGGATATTTGGCATAAATATGTGACACTATAAAAGAAATTTATGGTGTCCTCTTGCAAGAGATAAGAAAGGATTTGCCTCTGTTATTATGTCCCTTTGAATCAACTTAATTTTTTTAACAGCTAACTTTTGTGTTGTGCTTTTTTTCCTGTTTAAAAAGTTTTCCATTTGCTCTTTATTTTGGCTTTATGTCACTTTTTTTTCCCCACTTTGTTCCATTTTCCCTTTGGGTTTCTCTCGAGTTGGAAAATCCAGGGGCCCATGAACAGGTTTTAACTCCGTGGGCTGTGAGAATTTCTGATCCCCAGGGATCAAACTTTGATGGGAGACTTTTTTTCAGCTTCCCCACCTACAGCAGGTTCCCTCTGGGTCCTGAAAAAACCACTTTAAAAATGGGAAAAATGGGATTTATGTTTTATTTGTTGAGGTCAAGCAGAAGGGATGTGATTTAGCACCATGGAGAGATGCCCTCAGCTCCCTCCCAACCTGCTCTTGCTGTTTGCTCCTGACCAGGAGATGGTTTTCCATGTTTTCCTGCAATTTGGAGTGCTGGGGGAAAAAAAAAAGCCTTGCAGATGCCACATATGCAGATACTTCTCCTTTGAGATTTGAAATAAATTTGAATTTTGAGGCTCCGTCCCGAGAGCAGAGGCAGCTCCAGAGCCAGGATGCTGCTCTTCACATTTCCTGGTGAAATATTCCAGCTAAATATTGCATCAAAGGGATACCACAGGCCAAAATTTCCCTGTTTAAGCACTTTCCAGCTTCTCCTTTACCTGTTTTTAAGATGCAAAGCTGAGTCGGTTCTGAGCCTGCAGTTGTGCCTGAACGAAACCAGCCTGATAAATACTTAATAATTACATCAGAAATTCTTGCCATGCAGTTGTTTTTTTTTTGATCTGCAAGAAGAAAGGAAATATGGCTTTTTTTGGGGGGGACATGAAAAAGGAGCTGCATCTCACTCACCCAAAATCTTCCACGTGGTTGGTTGCGGAACGATTTTTGTTGCGAAATGATTTTTGTTTCGAGGGCTTTAGAAAGAGCAGGAAAAAAAATAGATAAAGTAAGTGTTTATTCATAGTCTCCAATAAAGTTGGAGAGTGTGAATAAAGTAAGTCTTTATTCAAATAGTCTCCAATAAAGTTGGAGAGTGGGTTGTTGTTTGTTGGTTGAACAGCCCCATGGACAAATCCTCCATCTCTGCTGCGCGAGTGGGGAAAAAAGGGGGGTTTTGCCAACACAGGGTGGCGATTTTGGGGGTTTTAAGTGCCAGCCCAGAGCCCTGAGGTGTCACTGTGCTGTCTGTGTCCCCAGCCAGGATGTGTGACACGTACCTGAGGGGGCCCAGCGGGGTCATCACGTCCCCCAACTACCCGGTGCAGTACGACAACAACGCCTACTGCGTGTGGGTCATCACCGCCCTCAACCCCGCCAAGGTGGGTCCTGGGGTGCCTCAGCCAGGGGGGAAAAAGGCTCTGCTGCTCCTGCAGCCTGAATCCCAAAAAAATCCGGCCCCAAAGACTGCTCAGAGACATTTTTTTTAATCTTTAAGCAGCGAGATATTTGTTTATTCGACGTCGTTGCTCGACTTGCAAGTGCAAAACTGAGGCATTTTATACACTTTAGACAGGTGGTTATATCATTTATTATACATATTAATAAGTGGGCTGGTCCAGACATGCAGAGTCTTCTGCTCTGGGGGTCTTCTCCTCAAGCCTTCACCCCTCTGGTGGTGGCCATGGGCGTCTTCCTCAGTTTGACCTCTTCAATTGGGTGACCTGAATTCTTCCAGCTTGCAAAATCCCAGCTCTGGGCCTTCTAGATCTTATTCAAAGGTCTAGTTTACCAATTTATTACTGTGTGTGTACTACTCCTGTTCTTTCTATAATAAGGCCTTTGGTCCAGTGAGCAGAAGAGATTTCAGGATTGGGGTAAAACAAGATTTCGGGACTGGGGTAAAAAAAAGATTTCTGGATTGGGATAAAGAAGATTTTGGGACTGGGGTGAAAAAAGATTTCAGAACTGGGGTAAAAAAAGATTTTGGGACTGGGATGTAAAAAGATTTTGGCATTGGGGTAAAAAGATTTCTGGATTGGGGTAAAAAAAGATTTCAGGAATGGGGTAAAAAAGGTTTCAGGACTGGGGTAAAAAAAGATTTTGGGATTAGGGTAAAAAAAGATTTTGGGACTGGGATGTGAAAAGGTCTCAGGACTGGGGTAAAAAATTTCTGGATTGGGGTAAAAAAAGATTTTGGGACTGGGGTAAAAAAAGATTTGTGGATTTGGATAAAAAGATTTCTGGATTGCACCATTGCCTGGGATGGGTCTGGAGGATGTTGTGGCTCTGGGGGCAGGATTAAGGAGAGGGCAAAGGAAGCAGGGAAGGAGCAGGAATGACCTGCACCCTCCAAGGGGGGTCAGTGCAGCTCAGCACTTCTCCCGAGGGTTAAACCCCAATTCACCCTCTCCTGTCTCTGCCTGTGCTCTCTCTCCCCCCACAGACTCTCCCACGTGTTTCTCAGCTCTTTAAATCCCACCCTACCCCACCTCCCCTCTCTGCTGAACACTCATTTTGTTCAGGGCTGTCATTAAAAATGAGTTTGATTGTTTTTAATCGAAACCCCTTTGATATCTCGCTGTGAGGGGGGGGAGGCACCTCCCAGCTGAGCAGTGCCCAGTCAGGGCAGGGAGGCCGTGCCAGGAATGCTGATTTTTCCCATGCTTTTGCCTGTGGATGGCCCTTGACCAGCAGGGTTTCAGCCCCCAAAGGGCAGAGGGTGGGGTGGGGAGGAGGGGTGGGTTTATCTCCCCCTCTTTGTACAGTGTTGTTAATTTATAAGTAATTCCTATCTGGGGGGGTGATTCCAGGCTGGAGAGAACAAGGTCTGACTGCCTTGGCCTGTGAAGGATCAATTCCTTTCCATTTTCCACTGGAATTGCAGTTGAGGGCAGTGTTGGTGTCTCAGCTCTTCCCAGCCCTTCAGTCTGTGTCCCTCCTCCAGATCTGGGTGGGAACACGAGGACGAAAATTACTTTGCTGTGCAGTTCAAAACACACCTTCCCAAGGTGTTATTCCCTGTTATTCCCTGTATTTGCTCTCAGGAGGTGACAGGTCTCATTCCTTTCAATGCCTGGGTTCCCACCAGCACCACCCCTGTCAGCTCCAGAGGGAATCCCAGGGCTCTGAGCTCCCGGGGTTATTCCCTCAGGGATGCCTTGGGATCCAAGCAGGGCCTTTCACTGATGTTTTGCTACCCCAAGACCTCGTCTTTTTGGCTGGGAATTGTTAGGAATTGTTAGGAATTGTTGGGAATTGCTGGCAGTGCCCTGCTGTCACCTCCCCCTGGAGCTCCTGGCTGAAGATCTTGTTGAGTTCCCTCTCAGTTCAAGCCTTTAACAAGCCCAAATCCCTGGTGGATCCTGGTTTTATTTAGGATCAACCCTCTCTTCCAGCTCCCAGGGAGGTTGTATCCCAGGCTGGCATTTGGTTTGGCCACCCAGGAGTGCAGGAATGACCCTGATCCCAGGAAATGGGAGCCTGGAATCAGGATATCCTTCAGTGCTGGTTCATTAGCAGTGATTTAGTGGTTAATGAGCCCCAGGGGTGGGATGTGCAGTGGAGGACAGGCCACGTGGGACAGCAGCTCTTCCTGCTCCAGTGTCTCCATCCCGGGCCCTGGGGCTCCTGGGAATCCATTCCCAGGTTATGGAATACCCACCAGCTTGGGCTGTGGAATGTGTGTTTTACTTTATACATAATTTTTTGCATGTCTGACTTTAAAAATCAGCAACACCCAGTTCTTGTGTACAAAACAGACCTCTGGGTTCGGAAAGAAGTCGTGGGGAGCAGGATGTGGACGTGGGATACACTTCCAGTTGGGATTCCTGTTACAAGCTATGAAGGAGGAGGTGGAAATCATCATCAAAATCATCATCAAAATCATCATCAAAATCCACCCATGGGCCATGTCCAGTGTTTTACTGACCCTTCAGTGTGTTGCTTCTGTGTTGAATATTCAAGTCTAACCCTCAGCTCTGTTCCTTTGTTCTTGTGCCAGTCTTGGGCACGAAGTTTTCCATCTTTTCCATCAGCACTGTGGTGGGATAAGCTGCTCCTCTTAAGCTTCCTGGGCAGATTGTCTCGTTCCTCAATGGAATTTCTCCTCAGGGAAAGCTCCTCTTCCCCTGTTTGTTTCTTCTTCAGCTTTTAACCCTGAGTAATAACGAACTGTTAATTAGGAAACAGAATCTGCAGGTCCTGATCCTTTCATAGAGGGGGATGAAATTGGGAAAATCCATTTATTTTGATACTTCCTGACCCAGAGAAGAGATTTAACAGCAGCAGAACTGCACTTTGTGCTCCCTGGGCTGCACATCATGGATTTTAACAGTGAAATACGGGTGGATTGGTTAAATCAACAGCTTTTATGGGCTGTGTGAAGAGACTCCAGTCGCCTTTCCCGTGAAGTGATAACTTGTTAATTAATAACAGCAGTTTTAGAAAGGTTTATAAATGTATAAGTTTATAAATTTTCTGGGTGTTTTTTTTTTTTTCATCCTGGAAGTGGAATTTCCAGGTGGGGAAAACTTCTCCATCCTTCTGAAGCAGGGAGGGGTGAGAAGGAAGGGGGTTGAGAAGGAAGGGGTTTGGGAAAGCCAAGGGGATGATCCCAGTGTGGATCCCCCATTTCCCAGTGTGGGTAAGGGAGGGATTGGGGCTGAATTCACTAAAATGCCTATAAAATACTTGGAATATGAGGCTGAGCAGGATCCTGCTGAAGTCAGTGTAATCCTTTTATTGACTCCAGTGGTCCTTGGATCAGGTCCTGTCTCATGGAGCTTTTAACGTGAGCGATGGGAAAACCAGGGGAGCTGAATTTAGAGCTCATTTGCAAGTCATCTGCTCTATATTTGGAAAAGAACCCTCAGCCAGATCCACTGAGCCCCATAATCCCCTCCAAGTTTTGCTCAGAATCCTCCCCCTGCAGCTCTGAGGGCAGAGAGCTCCTCACTGACAACTTGCAATTATTCCCCAGCCAGAGGGTGACATCAAACCCGTTTTGGGGGATATTTTCAGGCTATTGGGGATTTTTGTGCTGGTCCTTGGTGCCGTGGGAATGAGTTTCAACCACACAGTGGGAAAAATAAATCACTGGGGAGCTGAGAAATGAATATGATAATTGGGGGATTTGCATAAAAACGATTTCTGGACCTTTTTTTTTTGGCCATAATGGATGTTTCTGGTTGATGTTTCCCCTGGGGTTGTTCTCACCTGGGGTCTCACGAGCCAAATGGAGCTTTTTGTGTCCAAGCTTTTTGTGCTGGAGGGAGATGGGCCCCTCCAGGGGGAGGATTCATCCCAAATTAAGAGAAATGCTGGAGCCTGGGGGAGAAGGGGGAGATGAGTAACGTGCTTGTAAAGCAGTTCAATGTCGCTGCAAGAGGTGTTTCATGGAATTATTGGGTTTTTTTCCCCTCTGAATGTGACTGCACTTCAAATCACTTCGTGCCAAAAAGCTTTAGGATCAGGTGTCACATTCCAGCCCTGTTTTTCTTGGCTTTGCTAATTGCTTCCCGTCACTTCAGCAGCTTAAAAATGGAGCTTTTGTGTCACTCCCCGTGTTTGTGTGTGCTGGGAGGGCTCTCGTTGCTTTAATGAATCATTAAATAATTTTCAGCTTTCGGAGCCAAAAAAAAAGACAAGAAAAAAAACAAAAAAAAAAAGAAAAGAGGGAAATGGATAAATAAATATTGTATTGAGCATCCAGTTCCTGTGCCACGAGGTTACAGTCTTGAGTGTGCTAGAATGTAATTAGTTGTTTAATTAGGGTCAGGCTCCTCAGAATGCAGCTCACTTGAGTGGGTGATTGAACTAACGACGTGTGCAGCGTTACAGCGCCGTGTGCTTTGTATTAATTACATTATTCCATCATTACAGGCTTTAATAATGATCTGCACAGGTTAATATTTTGCTGCTGCCACTCCAATTAATGGTTCCACAGTTGTCTGAAGGATCTCACACGAGAGCTCCTGTTTCACCATCCCAGGACTCGGGGAAAAACTCTGATTTTTCAGGATGTTGTGGCCAAAATCCCTCATTTCTGGGCATTTGAGAAGTGTTGTGTTCATGTTTAGAAGGGGGTGGCACAGCCTGAGCTATAGAAACACCATTATTTTCTGCTTTTGGTTTGAACTTTGGGACTTTTATCCCTTGTGAATCCACAGGTGCTCAAGGGTTTGCAGGGGGTGCTGCTTTTAATGGGTAAGAAATGAGAGAGAGCAGGATTTGGGTTTTCCTGGGCCTTTGGTCCTGGCCCTAAGATGGGCCCTAAGATGCCCTGGGGTGGCATCAGGTGCCTGTGGGCCTTGGCACCAACGTGGCTCCTCCTTCTGAATTACTTTTGATAATTCTGTGTTGTCTAAAACAGCACAAAGGGGCCTGAACTCAAATTTGGTGATTTAATCTGTTAAAAGTGAGGAAGTGCAATGTGTTTACAGGCACCTGCACAAAGGTCTGATGATCCAAGTGCTGCTTTCCTGGCTCAGGTCACTTAAAGAGCTCCAGGAACCCAAAGCTCCATTGATTGTTCTGGAAAACACTTCTGGAAATGAAGTTCTCTTCCTTTTCTGTCTGTTCAGCCTGGATTAAAGGACCCTTTGTCCCCTAAATCCTGTTGTATTTGAAAACAAGAGGTTTCCAAAGCAGCTGAAAGGTTTTGGAACCCAAACCTCTTGGTGTCCATGGGGTTTGTGCTCCGTGGGGGCTGCAAAAGTGGAGTGGGGGTGGAAATTTGGGTGGAACAGGAGAGAAAACACAAGACAGAAAGAGCTGTGGACAGATGTGATGATGATGATTGTGTTTGCAGACAGCCTGAGACAATTTCCCAGTGGTAATTCATGTAAATCCTCTCTTGGTCTGACCAGAAACCAGGAGAATTTTGGGAGAAGCTCAAAGCAAAAGAAAGACTCTCCACTTGCACCACTGTCTGTCTGCACATTCAAACCATCCCCAGGGTCTCAGGGCTGGCAGGGAAAGGGCAGAGGTAGCTGGGGAAAGAGAAAAGGAGCCTGTGAAGTGCCAACACACACCTTTTTATCAATAAAGGCATCTGGGAAATCAATAGATGAGGCAGAGGAATCCAAGAGGTGATTTCAGGAGGAGCTCAGTCTGTCTGCAGGGCTGGAAAGAGCCAGGACAGGCACCTTTGGGGATGTCCTGGAGATATTATGGATGCTCTTGGAAGCTCCAGAGCCAAGCAGATGGACAGGCAGGGCAGGGGCTGTGGCTCCAGGGTTGGTTGGTTCCTGTTAATGTGCTGCCTCTTTGCCAGGTCATCAAACTCACCTTCGAAGAATTCGAGCTGGAGAGAGGCTACGACACCCTGACAGTGGGGGATGGAGGCCAAGTGGGAGACCAGAAAACTGTGCTTTATGTGTAAGTAGCATTTCCTGAGGCCCCTGGGAGAGGGAAACTCAGCCCTGGGCTTTACCTGAGGGGTTGGGATGGAGGAGCCCCCCCTGCTCCCTGTCCCTCGAGGGGGGGTTGTGCTGCTTCTCATTTTTGGGGGCTGTTCTGGCGTGTTCTTCCCTCTCAGCTCTTCCCTCTGTGCCTCATTTCTCCTGAGCTGCCTTTGTGGAGCCCTCAGGGAGGGGCTGGGGGTGTCCAGGGAGCTGAGGGAAGAGGATAAAACCTGGGATACAAGAGGAGCTGCAGCTCAGGCAGGATCCAAGGGCTGTTTTCTCTCTCTCTGTCCTGGGCTGTCCTTCTGTGCCATCCTGTGCAAAGTATAAATCCATTTTCTCTGGGTGAGATACCCCGGGGTGCATTGGGGTAAATGATGCCCCTCAAGTCTGGGATTTATCCCCCTCAATTTGCATTCTTTAGGCTGCACATGTGATGTTCTGTGGGGGTTCCTTCAGCCTTGGAGACACAGAAATGCTCCTGCTTTCCTTCCAGGCCTCTCCAAAACTCCTCCAGCCAAGCTGTTGTGCTCTTGCCAACTGGTGGGAGGGTGTTATTGTGGTTTTTTTTTTTTTTCATTCTTCCTCTTCTCTTGTTTCTCCCACACCATCAGCCTCCCACTCCATCTCCACTCATGTTCCTGTTGCCTTGTCTTGCCCAAACCTTTGTTTTCTTCCCAGCCCCTGATCCTTTGGTCAGGAGCTCCAGGAATGGGCAGGAAGGCTGATTATTGCCCAAGTGTTTGTAATTAAAGTGTTCCAGAACATTTCACAGCTGGTTGATCAAAATGTGCAAATCACTGCCAGGGGAGCAGTTTGTAAGAACCTGCTGAAATGATTCCTCCTTCCTCCCCTTTGGCTTTGCCTGAAGCCCAGGAAGGTTTTCCTGGGTTTGGTTGTCGTCATTCCATGTTTTTCTCACTCTGCATCAGCCACCCCTGGCTAATGCAAATGTGGAATATCTGGGACTGGGAAAGGTGCAGTGTCTGGAATCTTTTCCCAGTGCAGGGGAACTTCCAAGTAAATTTCTGATGTTAATCCTAGCAGGGAAGTTTCTTTCTTTCTTTATCATCTGCAAGGATAAGTTGAAAAGCAATGAAATGTGGGAGAGGTGTGAAGAGCACAGAAACATTCCAGCTGTAATCAGTGTGCACTTCTCTCACTGTCACCTGGATCCAGGGAGATCCACTGGAGGGTTTTTTGAGGAATCAAAATGCAGAAACCTCATCCTGTCAAAGACAGGAGTTCCAGTTTTCCTGCTGCTCTTCCTTTCTTCTTGGCTGTTGAAGAGGAGCTCAGTCCTGCTGCCTTTCAGGTGAAGGAACCCTCTGGAATCAGCTTGCACAGCACAGCCACCATCCCAAAACGGAGCCAGGAAGGACCATTTGTCTCCAGCCTCTCCCTCATCCCTGTAAAAATGCATCTCAGGGAACAGAACAGATTGTTAGGCTGAGCTTTTCTGACTTGCAGAGAGGATTTTATTCCCTAAAGTAACAAGCACCCAAATCAATCACTGGGCTTGTTAAAGTGGAATAGCAAAGAATGAGGGAAGCTTTAAAGCTTTCCCTTTTTTTTCCTGAAGGTTTTTCTCTTGGAGTGCTCCTCATTCCTGCCTCTCTGCTGCTTAAATACCTGGGGAATCCACAATAACACTCCAGCAAACTCTTGGGGTGCAAAACAGGCATTAAAACAAGTTTAATTCTTCATTTCCCAGCGCTCTGGGATCAGTAAAATTCCCGGTGCAGGAGCAAAAGGTGGGGGCAGAGCTGGGGGGGCTCTGATGGGTTTGGGAGAGAGGGTTGTGATTCCAGGGAAAAGCACCCTCTGGATGCCACAGGCAGAGCTGGAGCAGGGCCTGGGGGCAGCTCTGACACTGGTGGGTCTGGGGAGGGGCTCTGGGATGGGGAGGAGAGTTCTGTGCCTGGCCAGGCAGGTCCTGTTTGCCCCAGATCCCTGGAGAGCCCCTGGCACTCACAGGGAGCTGCTGGGAATGTCCTGGAAGCTGAGGAAAGGTGAACAGCAGGATCAGAGCATCCCATTGGGGTGGGAAGGGATCCTAAAGCTCACCCAGCCCCAGCTTCTCTGGGCAACCTGTGCCAGGGGCTCCCCACCCTGTCCCACCCAGCCCCTGCACATCTGGAGGAATTCAGATTTAAGCAAATGCCACAGAATTAAAAAAAAAACCCCAAACCCTCATCTCTCCCCTTGCAGGAGCTGCACTTTAATTTCTAAATTCATCCCAGGTAATACCTGAGCAGAAATAGTGCAATAACAACATTAAACAGGCACCACAACAATCCTGCTCTGGAATAATGATCCTTCCCACACACTGTTTGGAGGGAAGGGAGGGAGCTGGAAGATGCTCGTGTGGGTGGGGGGATAAAGCTCTAAAACTCTGTTGAACCACAACGAGGTGATTAATCCCGGGGCTGAACGAGCTCATTAACGGGGATATGGATTGGTGACATCTCCCTAAATCCCCTGGGCTCCCCTGGGAGGATCTTGGAGGGAAGGCAACGTCCTGATCCCCGGGATTAGCAGCACTTCTCCAGGGCTCACAGGGTGCTCAGCACATTCCAGGCTCCTGCCTTTGTCTTCCAGGTGGTTTTTTGTTTTTGTTGTCTTTTTTTTTTAATTTTTTGGGGTTTTTTGTGTGGTTTTTTTTTGTTTTTGTTTTTTTTTTTTTTTAGTTTTTTTTTTTTTTTTTTTTTTTGTTTTTTGTTTTTTTTTTGGGTTTTTTGGTGGTTTTTGTGGGTTTTTTGGTGGTTTTGGGGGTTTTTTGGGTTTTTTTTGTGGGTTTTTTTGTATTTTTTGGGTTTTTTTTGAGTTTTTTTGTTTGGTTTTTTAGTTTTTTGTTTTGGTTTTTGTTTTTTGGGGGGGTTTTGTGGGTTTTTTGGTGGTTTTTTAGGGGGTTTTTGGGGTTTTTTGTGGGTTTTTTGGTGGTTTTTTGTTTTTTTCTTTTTAGTTTTTTTTGCATTTTTTTAGTTTTTTGTTTTGGTTTTGGGGTTTTGGGGGTTTTTTTGTGGGTTTTTTGTGGGGTTTTTTGGGTTTTTTTTATTTATTTTTTGTGGGTTTTTGGGGTTTTTTGTTTGTTTGTTTTTTGGGGGGTTTTTTGTTTGTTTTTTGGGGGGGGTTGTTGTTGGTTTTGTTTGTTTGGTTTGGGTTTATTTATTTATTTATTTTGGTTTTTATTGGGTTTTTTTTCCAGATACTTTTAGAAACTTTTCTCTCAGGTTGGAAGCTCTGCAGAGAACGTGTGGGGAAACAATTTTTCCTAATGGCAGCAAATGCTGTCGAGGCAGTTCAGGGGGTTCACTCACCACTTTTGCCTTCTGGGGAATTTTATTTGTTTGCTCCTGGTTTCGCTTGGGCGAGAAAGAAAATGATTACTTTTGCTGCTGGATAATACATTGCGATAATGGCACCAAATTGTAATTATTATGGTGCTGCTGATGATAATTTGTTGTGGTGAAAGACTCCCAGTGCAGGTAGGAAGCAGAACAGACAGGGGAGGCTGGAAAATGCAGCAGGTTTTTGGGCAGTGTCCTGGTTTGGGGTGGTTTTTTGGGCAGTGTCCTGGTTTGGGGTGGTTCTTAATTGGTTTGGCTGTTTTCTGGTCCTCCAGAGGCATCTCTGGGTTTATTTTGTTGGCTCTGGGAGGCAAACAGGCTGTTGATTGTCCTGATTTCCCTTTGCAGCCTGACGGGCACCACCGTCCCCGACCTCATCGTCAGCACCCACCACCAGATGTGGCTCCTCTTCCAGACAGACAGTGTCAGCAACCTGCTGGGCTTCAAAGCTACCTATGAAGGTAATCCAGGCCCCTCTCTCAGAATCCCTCTGTTTTTGAAGGATCAGGGCTGGGATGAGTGCAGGAAAAGCAGGAAGAAGTTTCTCTATTTATACATCGAAGCTCTGCGGGTTTTTTTTCTCCTTTGCTCCTCCAAGAACAGCTTTCCTGGGTTCTTTTCCATCAGGGTGGGGACTGTCTGGTTGCCATTTCATCTGTTTTGTTGGAAAGGGAGCTGTTGAGGCTCAGCTGATGGTGACAGATTGTGTCTGGGGGAGGGAATGATGGGATGGAGTAATCAATGGTTCCAGTGGATCAGGGGTGTCAGCTGCTTTACACTCGGGGAGTCTGGAGTGTTACAAATGAAATGAAAGTTAATACAGGGGGATTTTTCAAAGGGATGCAGCAGGATGTGAATGCTGAGGTCTGGCACGAACTTCTGTGTTTGCTGCTGTCACAGGTGTGAGAAAGTGGGATGGAAAAGTGCCTCTGTCAGCTCCAGGAACATTTCAGCCTGGCTCTTCCCTCATTCATTTTTCAAAGGGTTTCTCTTGGATTTCCCATGTTTCAGGGAAGTGTCACCCTGTGTTCAGGGCCCAGGGTGGTGCTGGTGGATGTGAGGGAACAGAATTAGGGGCCTGAGGGACCTGAGCCACCAGAAAACTGAGCTGGCCCCAGTGCCAGTGAGTGCAGGGAGACTGGGCAGGGCCTTGGGGAGAATTAAGGTGATGCTGGAATATTTACAGGATGGCAGGGCCAGGTCAGCAGGAAAAATCCTGGAGGAACATAAATGAGGGAATTGAGAGAAGGAAAAGGCAAATCCTGATTTTCCAGGGAGCATCTTCACGGTGCCATTTCGGTCCCAGCAGCTGGGACTGACCAGCCTGGGGGCTCCGGGCTCTGATCCTGCCCACCTTGGTGTGCAGCTGGTTTTTGGCAGCCCTGGCAGAGCTGCTGCCCCCAGACCTGCCCTTGGGAGTGATCCCTTCTCCCAGACCTGCCTGCCTTGCTGATCTCACCCCGAGGGCACTGTGACACATTCCCCGTGTCTCCTGATAAATCTGGTGTTGCAGAGCCCATGATGGAGGGACTTCTCACCCTGTTGTTCATCTTGGGTGAACTTTGGGGCCATCAGGAGCTGGAGTTTTCCCTCCTCTGCCTTGTTTTGATGTTGTTGGTGCCTTGATCTATGGCCAGGCCGAGCTGCTCTCGCTCCCTGTGACCTCCCCAGTCCATCATCAGTCGTGGCCTGGACTCCTGTGGAGCTGCCAATGTCAATGTGCTTCTCCCTTTCCTCCTCAGCAGCTTTGCCTGCTTATTTTCACCAAATTCCAGGATCACTGAGGCTGGAAAAGACCCCCAAGACCATCAAATCCCCCCTGTGCCCAATGCCCACCTTGTCCCCAGCCCAGAGCACTGAGTGCCACCTCCAGCCCTTCCTTGGGCACCTCCAGAGGTGGGCACTCCAAACCTCCCTGGGCAGCCCCTTCCAAGGCCTGACCACCTTTTCCAGGCAGAAATTCCTCCTGATGTCCAACCTGACCCTCCCCTGGCACAGCCTGAGGCCGTTCCCTCTCCTCCTGTCCCTTGTTCCCTGGGAGCAGAGCCCGACCCCCCTGGAGTTGCAGAGCCAGAAGGTCCCCCCTGAGCCTCCTTTTCTCCAGGCTGAGCCCCCCCAGCTCCCTCAGCTGCTCCTGGTGGGATTTACAGTAACTCCTATGATCCTGTGAAATCTTTCCCTCTTTTTTTTTGGCACCTTTGCATTTTTCCCAGTGCTTTCCTGACCTTGCTGGGTGGATTTGTGCAGGAACAAACCCACACCCCGAGGTCCCCAGGGGTTAAACTGCCCCCCAGGGGTTAAACTGCCCCCCCTCCACCAACCAGGGCCATAAAACTCCCACAATTTTTGCAAGAGCTTCGAGTTCCAAAGCAAGAGGCACCTGAGTGAGAGGCAGTTGCCAATTGCCAAATACATTATGAAATTATGTCCAACTTCCTAACAAGTTTCAATATCAGTTTTATGGCCCTACTTCCTCCTGTCTGTGAGCAGAAAATTGCAGCCGATGGAGCTTTGTAAAGTCAGGACCCAAAAATCTACCTGAGAGAAGGGCAGGGGGTTGTTTGTAGGGTGTGTTTAAACAGCCATCCATCCTCAAACGTGGAAGACTTAGGGAATGTGATCCCAGAGCCTCTTGCTGTGCTGGAACACTCACACCTGGGAGATTTATCCATGCACAGCTCCAAGGACCTGTTGGAAGAATGTGCTGAGGAGAAAAAAAAAAAAGAGAAAAAAAGAAAATAGGGAAATGGATAAATAAATATTGTATTCAGCATCCAGTTCCTGTGCCATCAGGTTTTTAATGATGGGTTCTGAGGAAGGGGGGGGACCAACCAGGTCCTTTTTCTTCACTGGTGAGCAAAGAGAAAGTCCATTTGCAGCAGGAAGAGTGTGGAGAACACCAGGGATCTGGATTGGGCTTTTCCAAATCTGCACATGAGGATTGAGATGAGTTCAACAGAAATGCTAAAACTAAAAAAAAAACAGCAACAGGACAAACCCCAAATTTTAATGCAGTGATATATTTTATATTTTTAATATGGAGGAAGAATTTAAAATGAAAGCTAGAATGACAGACACACTAATGTAATTTGGGTTTCTGTTGGAATTGGGTTAGTTTGGGGAGAGCTGAGTAAAGTCTGTGCTCCTGAACCACCAGGGGATGATTAAACAATATTTACTGTGTGGAAATGCTGAGTAAGTGTTTGGCTCTGGGTTGCTCAGCTCCACACTGGAATTCAGCCCCGTGCTGCTAAGAGGCTTAGGAGCTCTGCAGGGCTGGAGTTGGGAGATTTCCTCTCCTGAACTTCCTGCCTTTAATCAAATTGCTGCAGCCCAGACCTGCTCAGAGGAGCTGCTGCTTCGTGCAGCTCTTTTTTACATTTATTTTATGCCTAAATACAGTTCTGTATTTAGATTTTTTGGTTCAGCATCACTATTGTGGCTGGGGGGGGTGAAGTGTTTCTGTCTCCCCTGCTCTGCTTTGCCAATAAATGTTATTGACTCGTGTCCTAAAGCTGAAATAGTGCTGAGCCAACACCAGGGAGGCTTTTAGCTGATGATGGGCTGCCCTGAGCTGCTCTCAGGGTCGGGGAAACTTGGATTTCAGTCTGGTCTGAACCTCCTGGCAGCGATTTGCTGTGACGCCACAGGGCTCTGGGAGCCAGCTGGAATCAGCTGCTGCATTTGCTCTGCAGTGCTGGTGGCATAAAGATCCTTTTCAGTTCATCCCCTCCTCGTTGGGTTTCCTCTCTGGACCCCTTTTTTCCTCGTTCATACAATCCCAGAATGGTTTGGGTTGGGAGGGATGTTAAAGCTCCTCTGGTTCCAACCCCCTCGTTCCACCTTCCCCTCCAGGGTGGGCTCAGAACTGGATGTTCCTTCTGCTTGGAACTGGATGGTCCCTTTTTTTGTCCCTGTTGTGGTTTGAGACCCCCCAAAAAATCCAATTTTCAAGCCCCCCCCCCAATTCATTTCAGTGAGAGAGTTTTCAGGCAAAACACATCTACTAGCATGGGGAAATTATATCAAAATTTATTACTGACACAATAAATATTATAATACTTTATAAACAATGATTCTAACTATCTCTCCTATGATAAACCCATTAGATCAAAAATTTGTTTCAGAGTGAGAGGGTTTCAAATCCCTCCTTTCCCTTGGAATCCCAAAGAATG